GACGTAGTTTGTAGGACAGCCCATCTCTCATCGTGCCGTCATTCCTACACAAATCTCTCCGATGAGAGAACCACCCGCTAGAAGCTTCAACAATCGAACCGTCGGCCATTTCCAAAGCCAGCCAATGCCCCCGAAAAAAACAAAAAAAAAATAATCCCAAATGATAACATAGAAAATTCGGTGAGCAGACCGTCCAGATAGACTGAGGTAGACCAATGAAGCTCGAGATGTCGATGATGGGTGGAGTTCGGAGTCTGGGTCTGGGTTGATCGCAAACCCCCCAGCCACAGCAAGCAGTCCTTTTTCCCGGAACCCCATCTGGGCGCATCTGCAGCGCTGTTGATTTTGGCACTCGTGATAGCCAGTGGTTGCAGTACACTAATGCATCCTCCTTCACAATCAACCTATGAGGGCATTGTAGAGCCACGGCAGTCAATCTAACAGGCTGTTGCTGCGTAGGGGTCAAGAACGATAGGGCTAGCTCGAGTGGAGATCATAACTCCATGACTTCACCCGGCACTGTGAAGCTGTCCTGAGCCACGTTGGCTGGACAGCTGCCTGAAAAACGATCATCCATCGGCCAGTGACGATCGTGCTAGTTGGTCTTAGACTGATGCTAGGTAGGAAGAAAAAAGAATTAAAAACAGTAAAAAATAAAAAAAATCAAAAATTGGAAAGGAAACTAGGTGGACAAACAAGAGTGGAGATTAGGGATCAACGCAGCGGGTAAAAGAAAAATAAGAAAGAAAGAAAGAAAAAAAACAGTCTTGATGCGGCCAACAACAGAAAGAAGGAAAAGGAAAGCACTTCAGGCGTTGAATGATTTGCGCGCTCTTTCCCACCTCCTCATAACTTAAATCGGCTCATCTTCCCTCTCGTTGCCTTTCACTTCTTTTCCTTCTCGCTTCCACATCAACCATCGTTCCGTTCCACAACAACTCGTCTTCGTGCTCCACGTCGATCACTTCGTTGATACCCCCTCTTGTTTGCCTCCCATCGCTTCTTTGATCTATCCTCATTATTTGCGCGTGCCAGCTCTCTATATCATCAAAATGAAGACTTTCTCGCTTTCCATGGTGCTGTTGGCTGCTGCCAACCTTGCCAATGCTGCTATCTCCGTCAGCGACTGCGCAGTATGTTTACCTGACAGGAACAAGTGATGGTCGATGGCGACTGACTTAATCGCGTTCTAGCAAATGTGCGTCAACAACATGAACAACAAGGCTTCCGAGCTGGGTTGCTCTAGCGGCGATCTCAGCTGCTTGTGTAACAACGTCAACTACAGCTATGGTATCCGCGACTGCACTGCGCAGGCCTGCCCTGGTGACAACGCCGCCGCTGTGCTGTCCACGGCTCTAGCTTCCTGCCCTAGCTCGACTAGTATGTGACCAAACCAGTAACACTGGGTGTGATTCATGACTCGAAAGATGCTAACCTGCACTTTACAGGCGGCTCTAGCTCGGGCTCGTCGGCCACCGGAACTGCTTCTGGCACTGCCTCTGGAACCACCACTGGCGTTGCGGGCGTCTCGACCAACTCTGCTTCGACCTCCAGTGGCAGCGGTACCACCAGCGGTACCTCCAGCGGCACGGGTGCGGCTACCACCACCACCGTGACTACTGGAACCAACTCTGGTACCACCAGTGGCGCATCCACTACTTCTGCTGGAACTGTGAGTACCCTCTTGTCTTCTCTCTCGAGCTAATATGCTGACCATACCAAGACCAAGACCACCATCACTAGTGCCATCACCAGCACGACGCTGAGCACTGCTACTCTCAGCAGCACTGGTTCTTCGGCTTCTGGCACTGGTTCTTCTTCCACCGGCAGCTCCGGTAGCGGCTCTTCTGGTAGCTCCTCCACTGGCACCGGCACTGCCCCCGCAAGCTCTTCGACCTCCACCGGCGCTGCCTCTCAGTTGAACGTCGCTGGCAGCGGTGCTCTCGGTGCTTTCGGACTTGCTGCCATGCTTCTCATCTAAATGAACGATTATGATAGGTTGGTCGCTTAATCTTGGCTGCGGTCGCGTCCAGCATCGAAGCACAACTTTGACTCGGGTGTATCTCACTATTACGGTTTATGACTTGTGATGTTTCTAATGCGGCTTGTATATTCTAATATGACGGGTCATGCGATAATGACTAGTAGATAATGTGCCAGTCTCCTGCTCTGGCCACGGGGTTTAGAGCAGGGCGGATGGATTAATGGTATGCAGGACTTGTCATTAGCTTCTTGAATCAATACATTCTTTGAATTCTGCTTCCCTCGCAATCTTGTGATCTTCCTCTAGGAAGTTTCTCGGGGACTATGCCAATAATGCGATTTGCATTGTGTAGTTGTAGTCTCAGGGTCTTCTGAATCCAGGTGTCTGTGCGTTGAGATTTGAGCGTACACGAAAGAACCATCAAGTAGAACGAGCAAGTCGACTTGGAGAAGCGACCTTCGTGGTTCCAAGGAATGTCACCTCGATGACTTGCAGATCCGGTATGCAACCGTCAAATAGACCTGCCCCACACGAGCATCGAGCTGAACAAAGCTATTGATACCAGGACCCCGCCTTCCCAGCAAGGCATTCGCCTCCCAACAACAGACAGTGGATAATCGGATGACTGATTGCATGCATATTTGACATCTGATTCTTGCATGGCCTACGACATGGAGAAATTGTATGTGGAACAGCTTTGATCGTAGAAGTCACTTGAGCAGCTTCGCCAGCAGCTTCGTCGTCTGAGTAAAGAACTAATTGATTGTTTACACCCCGGGTCATGCCGCAGCGAAGCTCACCTTCGATGGATTCTCGAAGGACTGCGGCGGGCATGGGTTGCGATGCGTTCATTTGCCAGTTGTTGCAACCGTCAAGGCGGGGATAACGTCATTCAGGGACTCTGGACGATCGCCGCCCGTTCTAGCCCCCCATCCGCATCATTCTTCATCATATCTTCAACTCTACAGTTGTTTTCCAGATCCACATACCTCATACCCTAACCACTGCCCATCGATGCATATTGCCTCCCCCCAAATTGAGGATCTGACTAAGTGGAACAGCTGTGCTAACACTATTGTGTGTCTGTGTAGGTCTGAGCTCCCCCATACTTCGCTCACCTCACTTTACCTTCACTGTGGCGAACCCTTTTCAATTCTCCGATGGCGCTCCATGCCATTCATGACGCTGGTATGAGGTCAATTGCGTATGTCCACCATCAGTGAAGACGAACAGAACTCCCAAGCTACTAGCACAATGGATGCTATTAAAATGAGCCCAAAGTTGAACCCTTGGAGTAAGAAAATCCAAGCCTTCCAGCAAGGATAACAAGCCAGCACTTGACGTCAGGCATCACTTTATCACACTCTCTCCACTTCAGACTCTTCCATACTCTAGTCTTACTTTCCTTCCCTGTTCACATACGGTAATCATGGCAGCGCTATCCACCTCATCCAAGTATGTCTTTGAAACCTTGAAATCCAATCCGGTGGTCACAGGGCTATGTGCGACCGCTATCATTGGCCTTGTCTGGTACCTTGAATGAGACGACCCTATTATTCTTTTCGGAGCCATCACTTCATAAGCCCTGGTCTCAGGAATCTCGGGTCTATGGCGCTAACGGGGTATGTGTTGCGGTGAATAGGGCCGTCAACGACTTCCGCGAATGGAAAGCATTTGGTACGGGCGGGACTCCGCCAACCTGGGCGTAAGTTTTTCTTCCAAGTTCCTCCTAACCATCAACACTCCATCCCACCCTCTCTACCTAATCTACAACGAACTAACCAAAAAAAAAAATGCAGAGGATACATGCGCATGTCGAAACTGCGGGCTCGACGCGCCCTCACCAAGAACAACCGCCACCACAACCTCCGCGACCCCGCCCCGCTCCAGAAGACGGGGCCCTCCTACCTGCCCACGGGCACGCTCCCGCTCCGCTCGGGCCCGCGACCACGCATGATGCCGCGGACCCTCCCGCAGCGCCAGTACCCGGAGCCCATCGACCCGTCCGTGCAGGCGCGGCTGCGCGCCCTCGTCCGCGACCTGGCCACCGCCCACCCGGAGCTCTTCGACCTGATGCCCTCGCACACCGAGGGCCGCACCACCGACGGCCTGTACGCCCGCCGCAACCTGCCCACCTTGAACCCGCTGGCGGGCGACCGCATCCTCAGCTACGAGATCGCGCACATGCACCCGGCCGAGAACAGCCTGCATGTCTGGCTGAGTGACGTCGATGCCCGCGAGGTCATCGAGAAGGGCTGGGGCCAGCGGTTCCCCCTGCCGGCCGTGCCGCAGGGTTGGGTCATGGTGTATGCGCCCCGGGATGAGGGGGAGATGGATATCGTGGAGGGCGTGGTGAGGGCCGCGGCGCGGTGGGTTACCGGTGTTATGGTCTAAGATAACAGCCCCTGGTTGGGCTTTGTGGGTTTTGATGATGGTGATGATCATGATGGTTATGATTATGATGACTTGGTAGCGAGGTTGGGTTTCTTTTAGCGAGCGATTGGGATGATGTGTACGATACTGTATATTAGCTTTTTCTTTTCTGTGACGATAATGCATGTCATGAGCTATGCACGATTTTTGGGCATTTCTTGAGCGTTGCACAGATGAGAGTGTCCATATTCAGGGACGCTAGCTGAACCGAGGGATAGGTGGACGATTAGCGCATGGCCTTTATTTAGTACGTGGCTGAAGCAGCCATTTGGTCTAGGGGTACATTTGAGACTGTACATGTTTAGCCTTCGGGAATGTCACATCTGTCCGCTCTTCCTTCACTTCATCAGCGCTACAGCCACTAGTTCAATTCACTAAACTCGAGCTCCGCCAGGATGTGCTAGCATACCCCTCTTATTGATCTCTGTGCTTAGAAGTATCCCTGCATCGCACCGAACACTCGGTATATGACACGTCAATAAGGAGTCAACCTATATCACCCATCAACCCATTTCCATCTCCACTTCTCCCCCTCTCCATAACCTCGAATCCAAACCCCTCTCCACGAAAGATGCAACCCCGCATGCGCTTCGACGATGCAGCCTGGGAAGCAAGCGAAACCATCTCCGACAGCTGGGTGGCCGGCCTATTCCAACCCGACACCCTCCGGGCCATCGGCGACTTCATGATCAAACACCGACGAGGCGTCCCAATTGAACTGTGTCAGCCCCGAGCAGGGACATTTAATGTGTCGTTTCGGATGAAGTTCGAAGACGGTGGCTCGGCGCTGATCCGCTTCCCCAAGCCTGGGACCACCATGTTCCCGGAGGAAAAAGTGAGGAATGAAGTCGCGACGATGCGATACATCCAAGAGCATACTTCGATCCCGGTACCTTTTGTTTTACACCGGGGCACAAGGGAAGAGAGCCCGCTTGGTCTCGGCCCGTTCATTCTGATGGAGTACGTCGAGCATGCTATGGATCTGGGCGAGGCGTTGAACACGCCCACCCTCGGGGTTGACGATCGCCCGGTTCTTGATCCGGCCATTGATGTTGGAAAGCTGGAGATGTTTTTCGGACAGCTCGCAGACATATTGCTGCAACTGTCGCGGTGCTCACTATCCCGGATCGGGTCTCTAATGCAGGTAGATTACTTCACCTGGGAACCCAAGCACCGGCCTTTATCGATGGGCATGAATGAACTCGTCCGCTTAGGGACTCTTCCTCGCTCAAAACTGCCAACCACCACCTTCGAGACGGCATCCAACTATTTCCAGGCCCTCGCTAACCTGCACTGCGAGCATCTGTACCACCAGCGCAACGACGCAGTAGACTCAGCAGATGACTGTCGGCGTAGGTTCGTCGCCCGCCGGCTATTTTCCAGACTCGCCGGTGAGAAGGGGGGGCGGCTGGCCTCCTCAAGAACCGACCACGGACCTTTCACGCTCTGGTGTGACGACCTTCGGCCCTCGAACATCCTGCTCAACGAGCGCCTGCAGATCGTCGGTGTCGTTGACTGGGAGTTCACCTATGCGGCGCCGGTTCAGTTCTCTCAGGCACTGCCTTGGTGGTTGCTGCTCGAACAGCCGGAGTACTGGTCTGATGGGGTAGAGGCGTGGGAAAGGATATTTGAAAGTCGTCTACAACCGGTACATCACGACAGTACAATAATTTATCGGTGGGTGAGATGAAATGTAAGTTTCTATGGGAAAAAATCTATTCTCAGAAGACAATCCTATTGACCATCCACATATTGCCATCATCGGCTGCTAAGAATACATCTAAAACTCCTTAACTTCAAGTTCTCCATCGTATCGGCCCACTTCGGCCGCACTAATATTAGACCAGCCAACCTGGGCAACCCGCTGATAGGCTGCTCAGCCGCGTTACTGCCTGTGACTGGATGTCTGCCTGATCCTTCAGGTTGTGGTAGCCTCCAGGCACCTCCAGGCCCCCCCAGGCACCCCCTCGAAATGAACTAATCTCACCCACCTTTCCCTTTCCCTCCCCCGGCTTATATTTCTTTGTCTTGCCTCACTCCATCATCATCCCATCATCCAACTGTTCGTCTTTCGCTATCAAAACTGTCAAAATAAATCATCACACCACCTCTCCTTCATCCAAACTCTGACTCCTACCGATTTCATCCATCGCCCACCATGGCCATCTCTTCCCTCCTTCGTCGAGGAGTGGAGGCTGCTGTGGACTACCAGTCCAAGCAGCCCTCCCAGAGCCAGCCAACCATCCATTTGGCGGGGTGGTTGTCGGCTTTCTTCATCTTCACCGTCCTCGCTTTCATTGCCATTCTTCTTTCGGTAAGCATTCCTCCAAGGTGATTCAATTTGTCGCATCGTCCTAATGCCTATTCTAGGTCGAGTACACTTACGGACAGCTGGTTCCTACCCTCGCCATCGTGGAAGACACGAACCCTGATATCTACGTCCGCATCGATACCGACTTCGACCCGAACAAACCCGTCGATGCGACCGAGCCTGAGATCGAGACCCGCCCGCAGCCCATCACCAACAAGTTATGCACGACCATCCGCCATCTTCGCGCCCGGGCCGGTCCCTGGTCCCGTTTCCGCGGACTGAGCATGTACTTGGCCTACTGCTTTGCTCAGTCGGCTGTATACTCCCTGGTGCCCTTTTCTGCGGCAGCATTCCTTCCTCATTACATCATGTACGTTCTCAGCGGCGTGCTTGTGGCCAACCTCCAGCTCGCGTGGGTTCACATTGTCATCTCGGAGCCCTCTCCGAAGCGCTTCTACCAGCGCATTGGGGGCTTCCAGACTTGGAAGCGGATCGCTCCCGTTGCGGCATTCGAGCATGCTGTCACCGGCGCCGGCCTGTACGCTCCCCTTTTCCTTATCGAGGCCTTCGGCGGCTTTGACGGACTCAAGGACTTGGACTCCTTTACCCCTTCCGATCCTTCTTTCACCAAGGCTATCTGGACCATCTATGGTCTCCTCCTTGTGCCCACCGTGGTGTCATTTGTGGCTTCCATTCCTGCGCGGGCTATCTTCCTTCGCGTGGCTGCTTCCATGCTTCCTGAAGAGGATGAGGCTATTGTGCCTTTCGACCGCTCCTACGGCGGCAAGGTGCAGCCTGCCATCTTGGGTGGCAGTGGTAAGCTCAGCATCTCCGATGCTTGGAAGACCCTCGATCGCGCTGCACTGACCCGCTTCGTGAAGTCGATGTGCAAGGCGGTCGCTATTGAGGCCGGCGTGACTATGTTCTTCACGCTGCTACTTACCGGCCAGATCCTCGCCGGCGCTGTGACTTACGGGTTCCCTGGAAACAACGCTTAAGCAGATTGACGTTTTGTTCTGCCCTCCATCGATGACCCTCCTTCTGTCATTTGGACTACGTGTCTACGTGTCTACGTGTCTCCGTTTTATATATGTGAATAAATTCTGTTTCAAACTCGGCTGGGCCCTCCACTCTCTTGTATCTATCACCATGGTCTAAGTAGTGGAATGGATTCCACAGGCATACGCAGGTCTGGATTCATTAGAGCTTGGTGTTGTAGTTCGGTAGTAGGGTTAAATCGCTGACGTCGACACCAACATGTACGTAGTCACGCATGGGCCGTGAATACCTTGGGCTAGGAAAAGCTGCCTCATCCATCACTAGGTACGTAGACAGGCACCTCCCTTGCGCCACCAAGGGCGATCGAGCCAGTGAAGGGGAGGCTATCGGGGGATGAGACGTTATCGTACGGCGGCCCCGCCACCCCACTCTCCCTTTCGAGCACACCGCCTTGGATCCATCGATATTTCTCCTCTGACCAGTCAGTCCGTCTGTCGATCCTCTTCCCCCAGGGTATACAGAGTCACTTCGGTCTCATTCCTTCTTCTCGTCGGGGAGATTCTCACCTTACCTCTTTTTCACTGTACGAGTGTACTCTTCTTAGAGCCACTTAAGGCCCGCGTGTACCTCTCGCCGCTACCCACACCACCTCTCATCCCTCTCACGATCCCGTTCCACCTCGTTCCACCCCCTCGCAACAATCCCCTCCTTTGCTTCCCTTCCCCCGCCGCCGCCGCCGCCGCCCCCTCTTTTCCCCTCCACGTCAACGCCATGGCCACCACCGCCGCCGGTCGCATGCTGTCACGGCAGCTGCAGCAGATGCAATCGGACAAGGACATCCCCGGCATCAGCTGTGGATTGGTCGACAACAACGTCTTCGAGTGGGAGGTGATGCTCATGATCTCCGATGATGTCAAGCTCTACGGCGGTGAGTCTTTTTTTCTGGTCATTTGATCCCGAGTCAGTGGCATGGCTAACACCGAGGAATGTTGTGAAAATCGCAGGTGGTTTCTTCCGCGCCCGACTCTCCTTCCCCCCGGATTACCCTCACATGCCGCCGAAGATGAAGTTCGAGACTCCCCTCTTCCACCCGAACAGTATGTTCCCGCCGCCCTGTCTCCAGAGCGAACAACGTGGACTCGAACCTAGCTAGCAGCTCTCACTTCTACTTCGACGTGATACTAACACAAGGATGAAATTGGCACAGTCTACCCCAACGGCGACGTCTGCATCTCCATCCTCCACCCGCCGGAGGAGGACAAATACGGCTACGAATCCGCCGCCGAGCGCTGGTCCCCCGTGCAGACCCCCGAGACGATCCTGCTCTCCGTCATCTCCATGCTGTCCAGCCCCAACGACGAGAGCCCCGCCAACGTCGAGGCGGCGCGGCTATGGCGCGAGAACCCCCAGGAGTTCAAGAAGCGGGTGCGCAAGTGCGTGCGCGACAGCCTGGGCGAGGAGTAATCCTCCTTTCGGTTTGGGTTTGCAGTTTGCAGTTTGCCCGGGGTGGTGGTAGAGAGAATTTCCTTTCGCATTCGTGGCATTGCGCGGGCAGCGTTGTGGCGCAAGTTAAATGGGTACATATCTTTTTTCGTGTTTTCGTGTTGCGTATCTCTTTCGTGACGTTGTGATTTATGGTTTACACGGCTTTCTGCTTGTTGCGGTTTGTAACTTTGGTGGTTGATGGGGAATCCGTTTCCCTGTTTTGTGATTTATGGTTTTGATTCATGGGATTTTTTTTTCTCGTGGTTGGTAGCGGAATAGATTCTTGGGGTGGTTTTCTTTTCGCTGTATGGATTGGAGTAGGTGTGTAGTTGTTTGGAGGTTGGGTTTATGCTGTTGCCATGGGTTAGGTGTGCTTCTCTTGAGGGATCTTGGTTGTCTCAACGACCGGACAGGGGTATCAGATATATTCTTTGTGCTGAGGCCCGGCTACTCCGATGACAATCAGGCTACGGGATGTTGAGTATCCTAACATTTTATGATCCTGTAGTGCTCTCCATGATTGATCACTAGATTATTATAATACAGCCAAGGAACCAAACCAAGCCTTGAAAAATGGAAGATCGCAGTTGGGAAACTCAGTCAGACAGCTCCGTGTCTTGGTAGCACTGTCACAGCATCATATTATTGAGCTGGATTGCCTCTGACATCAACCAGCATCATTGGTCTAGTGGTAGAATTCATCGTTGCCATCGATGAGGCCCGTGTTCGATTCACGGATGATGCACATCTTCTTTTTGTTTTTGTGCGGATCGTCCCCATCCCCAATCAGAGGTCCATATCGTTAGCGATATCGATATCGAGTCCGATCCCCGCATCGAGTCCCAATGGGTTGCTTTTACCGGTCTTATCAACGGTCACCCGCTGGCAGCATTGCCGGGATCCGATCCGACATGGCGGGGGAGCCATTCATATATCAGAGCCGTCGTTCCCCGCAGGTAGCTTGCCCATGACGATGAAATGCACAGTACAACTACAGCCCCAAGTTCATCAGTTCATCAACCATGACGACCACCTCGTCCTCCCTTCCCTCCGCTCCCCCCATCACCGTATCCCCAAACATCACCCTCCAACCCCCGCTCTCGCGCTGCGGTGAAGGCCCCGGCCTGCTCCTCATCCGCCCCGCCAACTTGGTGGGCTGCCAGACAAACAACACCACGCTCGACCCCGCCCCGTTACAGAAATGGGCGGAGGAGAGCTACACCGTTGTGGAAATCACGCTTGACACGGTGCGCAGCGGCGATGCGGTGGATGTCTCGGATGCGATTTCCGCTGCTGTGCGGGCGTTCTCCGAATACCCGCAGTGCAGTGGCCGTGGCCGTGGCCATGGTGACAACCTGAAGTTCGGGATTCTGGGTGAGTTCCAGTCTCCCCAACATCACCTGTCTTCCCGCACAGCAATTGAGTCGGGTACGAGGCGAGGCACGAGCTAAAATACAAGGTTTTTACAAAGTCTACGGCTCCCCACGCGACTACGGCCCCTCCTTCCCCGCCCTCCTGCAACAGTCCATCACAGCCCTTACCCCCGAGCAAGCCCCCGCGGCAGCGATCTACTTCAGCGCATGGGAGAGCCCCTGCCCAACCATCCCAGCTCTATTCCACCTCCCGGCCGGGCAGACCCTCGCGGAGAGCATCACCGCCACCACCACCGCCACCACAAAGACCTACCAGTACCCCTCGACCCGCTCACCAGGCTTCATCCTCCCAGGCCACGCAGACTTCGACCCGCGCGCCGCCGGCGTCGCGCACACGCGCTCCCTGACCTTCCTGAAACCCCGAACCGGCGGACCGTACTTCGACCTCGAGCAGATCTGGGAGGCGCACACGCACCACGAGTTCGGGGACCGGTCGGTCGAGAACACCATGGCGACCATGGTGCAGGAGCCGTATGTGAATCATATTCCGACGGTATGTTGTCTCTCTCCCCTTTCTACCCGGGTGTTGATGGGGGCCATTAGCGCCCTAAATGGTGGCCTACCGACTGCCTGCATGGTTTGCTGGAACACCACCACCACCACCACCTAACCCCTCACTGACACAATTTGATGACAGATAACAGGCGGAACCGGCCGCGCGGCCCTAACGCGCTTCTACGCGCAGCACTTCATCTTCGCCAACCCGGCGGACACGGCGCTCGAGCTGATCAGCCGCACCGTGGGCGTGGACCGCGTCGTCGACGAGTTCATCCTGTGCATGACGCACGACCGCGTCGTCGACTGGCTGGTGCCCGGGGTGCCGGCCACCGGACGGCCGCTCCGCGTGCCCTTCACCGCCGTCGTCAATATCCGCGGCGATCGGCTGTTCCACGAGCATATCGCGTGGGATCAGGCGACCGTGCTGAGGCAGTTGGGGCTGTTGCCGGAGTATCTGCCTTTTCCTTATGCGGTGGCTGGGGATCCCGGGGAGGACACGGCAGAGGGGAGGAGGTGGGAGTATCGGGTGCCGGCGGCGGGGGTGGAGACTGCGTTGAAGTTGCGGGGGGATGGTGGGGTCGTGTCGAATTCGATGATGGGGTTTGAGGTGCGGGAGGTGCGGGATTCTTGATTAGGCTGAGGGGGTCGGCTCAGCTGGGTATGGTGGTGGTTTGTGGAGGGGAAGGGGGAGGTGTGGTTGTTTGTGTAGGCTGGGATCGGGTATGATAAGATTGATTGCTGGTGTTTGTTGGACTATCCTTGGTGGGTCATGGTATAGGAAATTTAGCTCATCTACGAGTGTATGAGTTATAGGGTCCTGCGAGTGGGAGGCCAGAGGTGTATATGAATCAATAGCATGTGGCTGACTGCGCTACACTCCCCTCATAGCCATTTTGTTCTGTCCCCTATAGAACACAACGCACCCAACTCAACCAAATGTAGACAGACCCTAACAACGAACAAAAGGAATCCCACCAGCTACAGCTTCAGGGTCCCTTCTCCTCCCTCGTCCTCCGGTAACCCGTGATCCGGGAACTACGAAGTAAGGTACGAAAAAGACGGACACCAGTTGCGGCCCGTCGCCATCGATCACATTCCAGTCCCTCGGGGCGCCGCCATCCATCCCTTGTTTGACTCCCAACCTGGTACGGTACTCGGGCCTTATACTTCGCTCCCGAATCCGGAAAACAATTCATACCCGCTCCCGGATACATCGATTCCCAATATCAATTGCATATTGATTGAATATTTCGGCTCTTGCCTGCCGAGTTTGATTCACATGAGAGAGATCTGGATAATCTATATGTAGAAACGCCCTCCCCGCGAGGGAATCCCGACCACCCAGAATACACCAACCTACTCGAGAAATGAAACAACTGGCCCCTCCAGCTCCCACAGACAAGGAAAATGCACGTCACGACCCCCCTACTCCTCCAATCCATCCTTCTCCTAGGGGTAGCAGGAGCAGCACCACCAACAACAACACAATCGAACCTCCCCATCGTAGATCTGGGGTATGAGCTCCATCAGGCTTTCTCCCTGGATGTATGTCACACCTCGATCCTGACTATAAAGACCCGGTCCTAACAGGAACCAGGAGCAATCGCAAACTTACAACTTCAGCAATATCCGCTACGCTGCGCCACCGACGGGGTCCTTTCGCTTCCGACCACCGATCCCCCCAGCTCAAGGAAATCGGTCGGTAGTGCAGACCGGAGCACAGGGACGGGTGTGTCCGCAAGCTACGTTGAAGTGGGAGGAAGATGTTATGCCCGAGTTTGTGGCCGAGGTGTTGTCTTCTGCATCGGCTGCAGCTTCGCCATCGGCATCAGCAGAAGGGGGAGAAGCGTCGACGAGTCCCGCGAGGGATTATTCACCCTTCGCCGGGTCGATAGGGGGCGACGAGAGAGTGACTGAAGATTGCCTGTTCTTGGATGTTGTCGTCCCTAGAAAGACTTTTGAACAGAAAGCTCTTCAGCAAAAGCATCAGAAAGAAGGCAACGGTTTGGCTCCGGTCCTGGTCTGGATTGATGGCGGTGGGTATATCTCTGGCCACAAGTCGGAGCATAACCCCAGGGGGTTGATGCAACGCAATATGCTCGACGACGATGGGATTGTTTATGTTGCGCTCAATTATCGGGTAGGTCCCTGTTCTTGATTCGAGGCTCGATGACGGTGCTGACTTCTACAGCTAGGAGCTTTCGGCTGGTTATCAGATGGCAATGGGACCACTGCTAATGCTGGTCTCTACGACCAACGTCTCGCACTGGAGTGGGTGAAGCGATATATCAACCTGTTTGGCGGAGATCCGGACCGCATCACCGTCATGGGTCAGTCAGCTGGCGCAGGGTCCATCGTTCATCAATTGGCCGCTTATGGAGGCAACAAGGAAGCAAAATACCTGCCCTTTCACCAGGCCATCATCCAGAGTCCCATGTGGTATCCCTTGACGGTGAACCAGCAAACGTCAGCGCGAGACGCATTCCTCGAATTGCTGAATGTCTCATCCATCGAAGAGGCACGGTCTCTTCCATCGGATCGGTTGATTTCGGCCAATGCATATCAAATCGCAAACACGCTCGTCTACGGAACCTTTACTTATGGACCGGTCGTAGATGGATCACTCATCGAAGACTTGCCGAGTAACATCTTGCTCGACCCCGGCTTCGAATGGCAGGGTCTTCGCATCATGACAGGCCATACTTCCAACGAAGGCCTTATCTTCACTCCGCCAGCAGGAGTGAACAGCTCGGCCTATTCGACTATCCTGAGCGACTTTCTCCCGAATCTGGTCCCCGAAGTGGCGGAGGACATCGCCCAGACGCTCTATCCACCAACCTTCAACACCCCAGCAGCCAGTCTAGGCTATAGCGATGCGGTTGGAAGATTAGCTCTGACAATCAGCGACGCTTTCTTCAGGTGCAAAAACCTGTACCTGAGCACTGCCTTGGAGACCGTATACGGGTACAGTTTCGCTGTGGCTCCAGGTCTGCACTCAGAAGATCTATACTTCACCTTTTATGACCCTACAGACCCCGACTCGAGCGTCGTCGATGTCGACGTTGCGTTGATCATGCAAGATTATATCGCTTCCTTTGTGCAAGAGGGCCAGCCCTCTTCTTCCATTGCCAATGCGACAGTCTGGAACTCTTATTGGCCACAAGGCCAAGTCTTGAACATCCAAGCGGGCAATATATTAAGCGTCCCAGATCCGGTGGACATGGATCGATGCCAGGTGTGGTGGAATATCACCGGCTGATCGCACGCAAGGGGGAAATTTGAATCGAACTATCCGAGGGCGGAACGCTCGTATCGAACACCGCCAACACTTGGCGTCCGGTGCGCCTTGGGAAAGGGGCCATGTTTGAAAGAAACTCTGGCAATCCTTAGGCTTTGGGGGCGGTTTTGTAGAAGAACGATGGATTATGGTGAAACAGGGATCCCTTTGTTTAAGGCTCACAGGTTGGAACTATAGTTTGATACTGTATAGGTGACCTGCGAACATGGTTCCCGAGGGAAACGCCATTGCGAACCCTTGCTGGACTGACATGATGGACATTCAGCCGCATGACGAGTTTTCTAGAACTATACCTAGGTCGCATGAGGTAGTGTCCATGGCTTTCGGGCACGGAGTCCATCACCAATGAGAAGGAATGCAATTGGCGAGGGAGCCCCTATATGACCCACGTGGGATCGTGCGCCATGCTTGAATGGATGATCGGGGAGAGATTGGAGCTAGCGGGCATCGTTGCCACCAGTCGCCGATGCTAAAAAATCTCTGTCAGTGTCATTGTGGTTCCAACATGGCCAAAAGGCTCACCACCCGCGAAGTGGAGCTTCTGGTGGCTATATTTTCCCAAGTCACAGGGCGAGTTTCTGCCGACGGGCCGGATCCGGGATCTCAGTCAGGGGTAAGTCTTGCGGTAGTGGAATGCGCGCATCAGAACCGCGTTCAAGTTTGCTTGCGGTTGCAGCCATAAGCACGTGAGATATTTCATCAATGATGCAAGCGCATGTTCTGAATTCGCTGATTGATCAGATCGTCTAAGGTAATTCGGCCTCTGGATAAACAAAGTACAGTATTAGCTCCAAATTTGCGTCTGTTTCTGCCTGGAATCGCCGTTTGGGTGGAAGTTTGGGTGGAACAGTCGGCGAGGCGGAATGACTCAGCACTAAAAATAACCAATGAAGTGAGCTAGACTGTTTCACGGGTTGAGGGTAAAGAAAGATTGGTGTCTGGTAGAGAAAAACTCTCAAGTTCGGGTCCAATGGTCCATACCTTAAGCACGTTAGCTCAGGCACATTTTTTTCGTCCCCCATCGGAGTTGCCTTAGCTTTCAGTGATTTGCAGCACTAGGATGGATAAGTGCATTTGTCCGTTACGCTGCGATCCTGCTCCGGCTGACAGTGGGGATGGCGCTCGATGAGCTGGCCGGCACGGAACTTGTGAACATCAGGTCCAATCGTCCAAGCCACCGACCACTTCGGGATCGCCTATGACTCTCTGAGGGTATGGAAGATGATATTTCCCATAACCTTAAACTCACGGTAATACGATGGTTGCTTATGCCCTGCGTCATGCAGGAATTGTCAAATGAGACAGCTCAAATTGCCAGAGAGGCAGCCGAAGAAAATATCCCGGAGCCATGATGTGCCAATCGCAGGGTCCGATTGCACCACCTTCGAAGCGCACGCTGATGGGCTGGGTGATTGCTCATTTTCCCCGAAGAGTAGAATTCCGGAGGCTTCTTCCACGGTTACCGAACGGAGGCGGCCGACCGAAGTGACAGACGGGGGCTTATTGGTAAGGTGTCTGAGGGGTGGGGATGGACGGTCTGCCCATATCGCAAGACAAGTAGCAAGGTTAGGGAACGCCGATTTGTCCAAAATTAGGCAGCCGTTTGTCTGAGACTTCTGAAGAGTGAGTCTTGGGTGTTCCGAGTCGGGGGGATAGAGAGGTCCGAGGGGAGAAAAGGAATCCACAGCTAAAAGGATCCCCCGGCGATAACCTCATCGCTAAGCTTCCAATGACCCATGAATGGAGGGAGAGCGAAGTGAGAGCCTGAATGGCCCGTGGGGGCGACCAGGTGCAGCTGGATTGATCATTGGCAGAGCGGGCAGCGCTGGGAGAGCTTAGCAGAAGAAGGAATGAAATAGCACAGCTCGCCGGTGTCCGCGGGCAACGGAAAAGTGGGGAGAGACAGGCACTAAAACACGGCTAAGCCCAAAGAGAAAAAGGGTCTATACTTAATAATAGCACATTGGATTATTGTGAGAGCCTGAGAGGAGAGAGGGGGCGAACGGGCTGTGCTGGCTGGTTGTCTGGGTGTCTGGGTGTCTGGGTGTCTGGGTGTCTGTCTCTGACTTTACCGGACTTGTTCAAGTGCGTGCTGTCGTTATACAGTCAGTCAAAAGAGTACAGTAGATACTCCATTCTCGGGTGCCAGATACCCTCCGAGAACCGCCCATGGGGTTTGTTTCAAATCCAAGGGATTACCATCGAGCTGAATTATAATTGCGGTGACACAAGCAGCAGGGACCGGTTGTACAAGTAATTTGCGCAGGTGGAAGAAATGAAAGTGAAAGGACCCTGGCCCCAAGATAAAGGAAGAGAAGGTAAAGTAGTGAAACCAACGAGTTGAGGCAGTGTTTATTTGTTGGGGCCGGTGAATGGTGAATGGATGGAGGAAGCGATGGATGGATGGATGGAGGGTGATGAAATGGCGGAGTTGGAAGCCGCAAGTCTACTTGCAGAGTACTGTACAGTCAGTAACTTAGTATACTACGGAGAGCCTTCAACTTCTTCCGCACCCAGAACAGTAAGTAAAAGAAACAATAATTTTATCATGACAGTAAACACCGACAAAACAACTCACCTCAAGAACTTGACTTCCATTAACTTAAATCTACTTTTCAGTCCTCGGACTTCTGACTCCACTTCCTTACTTGGCCTTACATTGACCCAGAATAATTCCCGTTTCGCCCCCCGCTCGTCCGTCTACTTCTTCCTGCTGTGCCTTTTGTCTTGCTTTCCCCGCTGGGCCAAATCTTAGCGTTTGCTTGGTCGCTTCTGCTCGCTTTTATATGCCTCTTCCCGGCTCACAGCACCCTGCATGATTTTTCCAGCCTTGGCTCTGTCGTTTCTTCCGGTCTTGCATCCTATAAACATTCTCTCGTTCCCTCTACGTTCCCTCTTGGACCTGGTCAAACATTCGTTCCCTTGCATCACCACCACACTCATCACCACAACTCATCACTATCACCACTATCACCACCGCCATACCACCACACCACCTACCACTAGACAACTTACCAACTGACTCCATCCATCATCACCTTCTCTTTCTGAATCATCGCCCTATCTACAACAACAACCATGTTGCTTCGCTACCTGTCCGTGACAGGCGCTCTCTGCCTAAGCAGCTGTGCTGCCGCTGCTGCCGTCCCTTACTCCTACATCAGTTCTCCCCGCTCGGCCAGCGCCCATCAGATAAACTTGCCTGCCGTTCCATGTGCTTTCTCCGACTCCAGCTGCAACGAAGCTCTCGACCCCTTTGCACACCTTGTATGATGACCCTTGCCGAAAAGACAACTCGAATCTCAAACTGACAATGCCCAGACTATTGATTTCTCCACGCAAAATGGCGTCTTGCTGGCCAACAAACAACCCATCTTCCCCGCATCCGTGCCGATGCAGTTCTCTGTGGACCGCAAATGGGACGGCAACAAGCAATCCGTCTCCGTCGCCTACGCTCTGGATGTCCGACCGCTCCCATCTCACCCGGGTGCTCCCGTGGGCGATATCTACCACCTGAAGCTCCGCCTCTTCGACCTGCACGGCCGTCCCGTCACCGACCACGCTGTGGCAATCGGCCTCGTCCGTGACACCGCCGACAATCTCCAAATCACGGTCATCGACCCTAACTCCAGCCGCGAGCACGGCCACGGCAACAAGATCTGGCGCATGAAGGAATGGAAGTCCAAGGTCGAGTCCTACGTCAACAACGCCAAAGAAGCGGTAACTGACTGCCTGAAGACGACCCCCTTCTCCCACGGCCAGCACGAGCACGAGCACGACCAGATCCACGATTCCCCGGTCCCTGCCGCGGCCGAGTCCTCGCACGAGAAGTCTGCCTCGACCAAGTACCCTCCCGTCTTCCGCACGAGCCACAACGGACAGTTCTTCTGGAGCGGCCGGGAGCGGGGCGTCATGCGACAGATCCGCGCTATCATCTTCCCTGCTCTGCTGGGCGTCGTGGCCGGAGGCGTCGCCTGTGTCATTGGATTCCTTCTTGGTCGGATGATCATCTCCGTCTACTTCTGGGCACAGGACAGCCATCGGCCCCAGATTCCCGTCATCACTGTTGAAGACGAGGAGCCGCTGTCGGAGAAGGAGGCGCTGATGGAGAGGTACAGCGATTCCGACCCTGAAGCCAATCTTCCCCGTGATTAATCCACATTCCCTTCCTTCCTCACATTTCATTCCCTTCCATTCCCTTACTGTCCTGTTTATGAAGATATCCAATGTAGCATGTTTACTGTTAACTAGCATACGCACATGAATGAAAGCGAACATTTTCCCTCGTGCTGAATATGTATCCCTCAAGCACTCCAAAGTATCAACAAGGCCGGCTGGCCCAATGGTAAGGCGCTTGACTACGAATCAAGAGATTGCAGGTTCGAGCCCTGCGTCGGTCAATATTTTTGTCCTTTTGCAGTTTGCCACTGTGCCCCAGAGCATCCTGTCCGATGTGGATAGCACTGGGGACAGGACACACGGAGAATTTTCGTGTGAACCACTTTTCCGACATCGTCGGATCCACCCGCCGAACCCGACCCTCTCAGCCAACCACATCGACCCGCATCATACTATGTAATCTGGTCCAAGACACCCTCCCACTCTCCCCTCGACGATCTTAATCTCGATGACCGGGTCCGGTTCAGAGATATTGGATGATGTATCTCGGGGAGGTTTAGATCCAAGACAAATGATATCGCAATGTCTTGCATTTCCGGTTTTTCTTCTATAGATGCGGAGGGCAAGCGTGCGGTGGGGACTTTTGTGCAGGGGCCAGAAAACAGGGCAGTGGAAGTGTTTCTCCGCTGATCTGGTTGATTTCCGTACGGAGTAAGTATGAGTATGAGTATTTGCGGAAAAGGGTCGAGGGTGAAGGGGTGGGGGTGGGATTGAGATGTAGATCTGTGTTCGTTGCTGGGTACTGTAGATGTGGAGTTGGTGGGGTTGAGGTCGATGGGACCCTGGATTTGGAAGGTGGTTGTTTGTTCAGGTTCGAAGCTGCAGTTGGATGAGGGCTCTGATGCTTTGGTATGATGTTATGCGGGAGAGTTGAGCTATTGAGGGGAAATGGTTGATCTAACGCTGGTAGAGACAAGTCCGGAATGTAGTACCGGGGAGTGTGGCCGCTTGCTATGATTAGTCAATCACAGATTATATCGATAATGATTCGACAACTTATGACCGACTGAAGTCGACTAATGACTGTAATGCCAGACTACTACTACAGGCACATTAGCCGATTTCTCAGGCGCATACTTAGTAACCAACCAACCGTATCAAGCAGAAGCAACGGTAGGCACACACCAAGCATCCCCAACGCCAAGCTATCAACCATAGCTTATCTTCTTGAGCTGTCCCACCGGCCTACATACAATTTACTTGGCATATATGCACCTCTTCGTCATCGACAACGTCGCATTCAAACCCAAAAGTCTAGATACATGCTCTCCTGGATTCTTCTCTATCATCTTTCGATCCTGAAACAGACAGGCAAGCCCGTCTAAACACACTCCGACTTGATGCTGACCAGGGTCACATCCGCCTCGAAGCACTGCTTCTCGGTGTCGACGCTGACGGTCTCGAACAGGGTGGACTCGTCGCAGCCCGAGGCCGTGTAGGTGTGCAGCACGGCCGAGGTGCCGTCGGCGCAGCTGCCGGACTCGACGTACGCGGTGAACGACTTGATGGGGAAGTTCTCGACGTTCAGGCACGAGCCCGCGTAGGCGTTGCCCGCGTCGATGCTGGGGGTGGTGCAGTTCTCGTAGAAGTAACCCGCGTAGCCCACGGTGGGGTTGGCAGTGACGGCCACGGCGAGGGTGGTGGCGACGAGGGCGAGGGTCTGGGGGTCGAGGGTCAGTAGGGCTGAGATTGAGGGGAGAAAGGGAGGCTTGGGATGTAGGGGTGGGGACGATGTGGAAGGGTGCTTGCGGACCTTGGTCATCATCTTGAAGTTGCTGAGGAGTTTGGATGGGGGATGGATGGTTTGAGCTGGAGTGGTTGATCTGTGATCTCTGGGTAGCTTTCGAGGTACTCTCGAGGGTCAACGGCCGCCTTTATATAGCTTTTTTTCTCTCGCCATGATGCTGCTACACGCGTCTCGTTTCCGTGAGCAAGGCATTGGGTGTTCCCTCTCGTTCTCAGCTGAGGTCGATGGAGCATCGTTCGTTATCTTCATGGCACTATTGAAGGAGACTTACGTATGCTCCGGGGCTCCGAATATCTCCATTCTGCAGGTGAGAAGTTGAGAGCCGGTTCGCTTCGGCGCGATCTACAGCCTGACTAGCCGGATGAAGATAAGTGGTGGGATATAGTCCCTCATCTATCTAGTCAGCTCAGCTTACGGTGGGTTGTCCAGGAGGTCGAAGTATAGCTCGTTCACGTTCGTGATGTTTCTGCGATGCTTCGCATTTGTGGCATGAGAAGAGGCTCGAAGCAACCTCTGAAGGGGAGGTATTCACGGTCTCTAGTCTGGAAGAAAGTGTCTTGCAAGGGAGATTAGATGCTTGTCGCGTTATGCATTGAGGCTCGTTGCTTGTCAGATAGAAATCTTGATGATTCTCCTGCAGGCTGCAACTGGTAGAACGGACCCACTTGGTCTTCTGTTCAATGCTTGCATTGGCAACCAGTCGATGGGGCCACCACTCCTCCTTTCATCGTGACGAAGGATCGCATTCACAAGTTAATCAAAACAATCATTATCTAATTCTTAGGAATCAGCAGACAGATTGCACGATGAGCAGATTTCAGTGACACCAGTTTCCCAAAACAGCCTCCTACTGCAGGTGGCTCGCGGAGTAGTGCGCCTGCCAAGCAGACGCGGAGGATCTTGGCGGAAGCCGGCCAGGCCACAGGCTGACAGGATCTTACCGAAGCAGCAGATGACAGGGCACTCGGCTCAGATAACCATGATCGCCCTGAGATCCTCTGGCTCTAAGGTAAGATTTATTTAACGGATTGAAGAAAAAAAAAGAGCAATGATCTGAAAAGTGTATTTTGGGATGGGGTTGGGGATTCGGGCATTGACGGATGTGACAGTGACAGTGACAGCGACAGAATTGATAAACTGGCAGAGAGGCTAGACCCTTCCCGTCCCTGTCGGCAAAAGTCACGAGAATGAGACTTTATTCAGCTTTAACTTCCTCACCCACAGTCCACTTCTTCCTCGTATTCCTGCTGCACAATCCCCACTCTTAGCTTGTTCCCCCGTTGCTCGGCTAAACTTACCTGCCCAGTCGCCCCGCTCCTTTACTTCTCTTGTGTTGATATGTTCCGCTTACAGATGCATTGGTATATCTGTCTTAGTAGGTACTTCTCTATCTTAGCTGTACTGAGCATGGTTGCTGTTCTGCAGTGAGATACGGAACGCTGGCGCTCTTCTCGGAGTTTTTCTTTTCTCGTTCTCGGACTTCAAACCATAGACTATCTTGGTCATTACTTGTTGTCCTCGTACAACCCGTTTCTTTGTTGTGGTTCCATTGCGCGCATCCATGTCTTGATGTCACGGATCACAAGATGACGGCTCGATGACTAACATGTCTTTCTGGCTGGCTAGTTATAACCAGACAACCGTTGTCTCTACTCCCTGCCACCTGGTGCATCACATCCACTAAACTCGACTGACACAATGTGAAACATCGATCAAAATGGCCCAGTATCTCAACAGGCAGATCATCGCCATTTCCGCAGATACCCCATACTATGACCTCGGATCCTTCCATCGAGCAGTCACCACTGCTAGCAGGGATGCTCAGGTCTGGTTCGACCGTGGCCTGACCTGGTGCTATGCTTTCAACCACGAGCAGGCCGCCGAATGCTTCAACCAAGCGATCGCGCACGACCCAACATGTGCCATGGCATACTGGGGACTAGCGTTTGCGCTCGGGCCAAACTATAATATGTCATGGGAGGCTTTCCCTCCCCAGGCACTGGAGATGGTTGTGGGCCGCACACACTCTGCGCTCACCCAGGCCTTGGAGAACAGTGAAGCTGCAGCGCCCGTCGAGCAAGGTCTCATTCGAGCGCTTCAGGCTCGCTTTCCTCAGAAGCATGCGCCGAAGGACCCACAGGAGCTCCAGTCATGGAGCAGAGCATATGCGGAGGCAATGCGGGTCGTCTATGAGAGGTTTCCAGGTGACTTGGATGTCACTGCACTATATGCTGACAGCCTCATCAACTTAACACCGTGGCGGCTCTGGGATTTGCACACCGGACATCCGACCGCAGGATCATGTACACTTGAGGCTAAAGATGTCCTCCACCGTGCGTTGGATGAAGACGGCGGCTATGCCCACCCAGGTTTATTGCATGTGTACATCCATCTCATGGAGATGTCCAGCCAGCCAGAGGCGGTGTTGCAAATCGCTGATCATCTCCGTGGGTTGGTCCCCGACTCGGGCCATCTTCATCATATGCCGACTCACATCGATATCCTCTGCGGAGACTATCAGCGAGCTATCCTCTCCAACTCTGATGCAGTGCGGGCTGATGAGAAACATCTTGCCCTGTCTCGGCCTCAGGGTATCTATACGATGTACAGATCCCACAATTACCATTTCCTGATCTACGCCGCTATGCTCGCAGGGCAGTTCAAGGTCGCACTAGACACTGCCATCAAGCTGGAAAAATCACTTTCCGAGGAAATACTACGCACGCCGCATCCCCCGATGGCCATGTTCTTGGAGTCGTTTGTGCCGATGCGCGTGCATGTCTTGATTCGTTTTGGGCGCTGGGGAGACATCATCGCGATCAAACTCCCACAGGACCAGGAATTATACTGCGTGACTACCGCTGTGATACACTACGGGAAAGCTGTCGCCTTGGCTGCACTGGGAGAGATCGACGAGGCAAGCAAGGAGCAGGAACTGTTCCAGAAAGCCTTCCAACGAGTTCCACCAACGCGCACCCTGCACAACAATACTTGTCTTGACATTCTAGCTATCGCACAGGCCATGCTCGACGGGGAGCTTGAGTACCGCCGTGGCAATACCACCAAGGCATTCCAGCATTTGAGCCATGCCACAAGTCTCTATGATAAGCTTCCATATGACGAACCATGGGGGTGGATGCAGCCCATCCGCCATGTTCATGGCGCTTTGTTGTTGGAGCAAGGACTTGTGGAAGAGGCGGCGGACATCTATGCTGCGGACCTGGGGGTGGATGACTCTTTACCGCGAGCCAAACAGCATCCGAATAACGTGTGGTCGTTACATGGGTACCATGAGTGTCTTGTCAGACTGGGTCGTGATTCTGAGGCGCGCATTCTTGGGTTGCAGCTTAGGATGGCATTGGCTCGGGCGGATGTTCCCATCAAATCATCTTGTTTCTGTCGGCTCAGTACCGGAAGAGCTTAGGCGAGCCATTGGAGGAACTATTTGACTTATGGCGTTCTGGACTGTGGAGCTGCGTGGTATTGTGCTATTACTAGTCTCTTGACTGAGACGAACCACTATAGCATGCGACTATAACCTTCTCCGCTGGTGATCGGGATTATATTACAGATTGAGGCGATGATTCGATATCGGAGCAGCTCTATGTTTCTTCGTGGACCTTATTTGATTTGGGCTATGTTTTGCTGGTACTCGTACGAGTCAGGTCAAGACCCTCAGAAAACATACAAAAACAGGCATGAAATAGCATTTGAGTCGTCGTCCCGAGAAAATCGAACCCAATGGTAACTTACCAGAACAGTGTTCAGAAACGCCGATGTGAACAATTGTCACCTGACCCGTAGTATCCCAGCATCTTCTTCATGTACTAGGTATAGTAGTCACCTCAACCGAGACAGCGGCATTAAGACACTTCATCCTGTCTCTGATCCAGACCATCGCAACTACAACCAAAAGAGCCTTATTGTCTTGTCATTGCAAAGGCTCGAAGACCCTACTAACAACATCACCGTGGCTCGGACAGCAATCCAGAATTGTGGAAAGGATGATCTCTTTGTACTCTTTGGCTTTTATCAGCACCTCATTGTTTCCCTCGTCGGGGGGCGCATTGTCACTTTGCTCTATTATTATCTCTCATTATCTTTGTCTCACGATGGGGTGGAAAGAAAATAATTCCTTTGTAATTGCATGGTTTTCGTCGAGAGAGGTATTTAACCACAGTCCAGCCCATAGGTCTCCGAGTATGCGGATCGAGTATACCAAGCCGCTTCTTTACACATCTACAGACGTCAGACACGAAATCACTAACTTGACGCGCAAACATGGGCATCGACAAGCTCCCAGTTGAGCTTATCGAGGCCATCGCAGACCTGGTCGACTACGAAAGCGAGATCAATGCACTCGCCCGCACGAACAAGGATCTGCGCGAGGTCTTGAACCGACGGCTCTACAAGCACAATGTGCGCCATGGGGACAGCACGGCGCTAGCGTGGGGAATCGCGCACCACTCCATTGGAACTGTCAAGCTGATTCTCGAAGCAGGCGCCTCCCCCCACGAATGCGATCGGCGCATGGACTGGCGACCAATGGCACTGGCGGTCTACGAGGGACAGCTGGATATTGTGCGACTCCTGTGCGAGCACGGGGTCGATCTGCGTCAGGTCCGCGACTGGGTGAATCCCCGTCACCATGACTACTCGTCCTCCCCCGCGCAGACCATGAGCCTCCTGGCGATCGCGGCGAAACGCGGCCACAAGCCGCTGGTTCGCATGCTCATGGACTACCTGCCGCGGGAGGGCGATGTCGATTTCCCGGCCGACGGGCTGCGACGGACGCCGCTGATCGGCGCCGCCGAGATGGGCCATCTCTCCGTGGTCCGCTGCCTGGTCGATGCGGGCGCGGACCTCGAGGCTCGCGACAACGATGACCAAACCCCCCTGGTTCATGCGGCGAAAAACGGCCGGCATGAGGTGCTGGAGTTCCTCCTGAGTCGGGGGGCGGATCCCAACGTCAGATCTTTCAATGGAGCCACGCCGCCCATCTCCGAAGCTGCCCACCA